GCTCCCTGGCAGCGCCATTGGGTCACTGTGAGTCTGAATCTACTCCATAGCACCTCATAATGACAATCTTCACAGAAGCAGGTTGCCAGAAAGAGCTTTCTTCTATGGCACCCCTAAGTGAGGCCTTTCAGGTTAGTAGATAAACTGTTTGCTTTCCTGCTAACACCACTCAGGGAACTTATTAATATTTTCATTTACAGAGCTAAGGACTGGCACAAAGTAAAGCAACTAATAATTTGGAGATTCTACGGTAAAAGTAAAATGTGGTCATGAAATATGCAAACACCTGGAGTCAGAAAACCAAAAAGGAAAAACATGCTCAGCATATCATCAAGCGAAAGAAGGGCTGCCAGAGTGCTCTTAGAGGCAGATATGGCAGGACGTCATCGCACATGCTTAGGATATGCTCTCAGGAGAGAACACCCAGAGGAGGGTGTAACGCTTGATAAAGTGGAGGACAGAGAAAAGGAAGAAGGCCAATCCTCCAGGAGATGGATTGATGGACAGTGGCTGCAGCAATGGGCTCAAACGTCGGAACAATTGTGAGGATTGTGGAGCAATGCTTCCTTCCTTCTGTTCTGTTCTTTTGAGAATAGGTTTGCTTTGGGTCAGTACCGACCCGATGGCACCTAATAACAACCACGGGAAAATATTGAATGACGCAGGATGCATCAAAAGACAATGGAGGGAATACATAAAGTCACTGTACCAAAAAAGAATTGGTCGACATTCAACCATTTCAAGACGTAATATACGATCAAGAACCAATGATACTGAAGAAGTCCAAACTGCACTGAAGACATTAGTAAAAATCAAGGCTCTAGGAATTGGTAGAACAGCAATTGAAATGTTTAAGTGAGTTGATAAAGCCCTTGAAGCAGTACTAGACTATGTGATGAAATTTGAAAGACCACAGCTGGCCAATTTATTGGATGTGATCCATGTCTGTTCCCATTCCAAAGAAAGACAACCCAACAGAATGCATAAATTATCAAACAATGCTATGAATATAACAGGAAGTACACTTTTGCCGAAGGTAATTCCACAGTTACAGCAGTAAATCGACAGGAAGCTGCCAAATATTCAGGCTGGATTCAGAAAAGTATGACTTATCTGTGCATTTATAAAGGAGATCAAGGAAGAACTGATGCGTTTGAATTATAGTGGTGTCAAAGAATACTGAATATACCATGAACTGCCAGAAGGAGAACTGAACCTGCCTTAGAACAGGCAGAACGCTACTTAGAAGATAGGATGGGGAGACTTCGTCTCATGTACTTTAGAGGAGATCCGTCCCTGGGAAAAGATACCATGCTTGGTAAAGTAAAAGTGCAAAAGAAAAGAGAGGAAAATCCTCGCGGAGATGGATTGACACAGTGGCTGCAAAAAGAAAAACAAAGGCTTGACTATAACAATCGAGGAAGTAGGGCAGGTCCAGCATTGTTCCTTCTATTGTACTCAGAGTTGCTAAGAACCAGAGTAGCTCAGCAGCATCTAACCACAACAGATTAAAATCCTAAAATGTTCAGCTGTAATGCTTATGTTTTGAATTAAGGACAACCGAGAAAAAGGGAAGGTCAAAGACAGCAACTCCCCAATGGTCACCTAGTGATACGTGACAGAGCTGAGAACGAAATGGTTTTATTCTATCTATATCTCGCTCACTGCTGCTCATTTGTCATTAAGTTGGTACTGAGCGCCCAGGAGGCGCGTCCCCGCCCACAGAGGGGCGGGGCGCCTGTTGCCGTACAACGTGGCCGCGCTAAATCCGGGTTTACCGAGCGTGCCCAAGGTTGCCGTACAACGTGGTGGCGCTCATTCTCCTCGCCGTTCACTCTGACGCAACTTCCGATTCTGCGCAGTCCTATTTGACCTCTGAACTCTCGAGCGCCTTCTTCCTCTTCCGGAGACGCTGTGTGCAGGTATGGCGGCTGCTTTCCTTTTCTTGGTCTCTAATTTCTTTACAATCGGCTGCCATCCGTGCGGTTGCGGGAACTGGCGGTTCCTTGACCCACCCCTTTGAGCTGGAGAGGCAGTAAGGGGTTCAGAATCGGGGCTAGTGGTGAGCAGGCCCCCTAACTTTAGCTTGGGACGCCTCTCGCCCGGGCGGCTCCTGTGGACTGGAGAAAGGCCGGAACACACTGCCAATTGTGCTTTCGATACTTGGGTCCTTGCGTTCGCGCCACGACTGTGCATTTTCTTGGGCGCTGGGCAGGGGAGGAGCACCCCGTCGTGTGGTTTTGGAAAGTGGTAATGCTGTTCCAGTATAGTGACAGGACTCCCCGGTGCTGTGAAGATGGACATCGCGCGTCCTGGCTCTGCGCGTGGTTTGGGTTCCGATGATGGTGTTTGCGTGTAGTCAGTGGTAGGAAGTTGGATGTGAGCTGCCATTTGGTAAAGAAAGGCCCTCATAGTGGGGCAACTGTAACGTCTGTAGTGAGGTGGTCACCAGATTTGAGAGATGAAGGCGGCGTGACTCCGGTCCTCGTATGTTGTTGCTTTGGGTAGGCCAGGGAAAAACTATTTGGCCGTTCATTTACAAAACCAATTCTAGGCAAGCTCATCCGTGCCTGTTGCAGCCCGGAAGCACGCCGACGAATATTTAAAGGCCCTGATGTGCAGAGCAGCCCGTTTCAATTGATGACAGGCGTGGAGCCCGGCGCCCTTATCTTAGAGATGTGTAACGCCAGCTCCTTGCACTGGGTTCCCAGTACATGATATACTTTAGAGGCATGTGCTCCTTCTGAAAACCACTTTGGACACCACCGCATGCAAAATCAGGAGGAGGAGCCGGGTAATCAGAATTGGAACCAAGTGCCCGTTGCTGTTTATTGGCAAACCATCAGCTCTCTAAGTTTCCTTCTGCCCTTGAGTGAGGTTTTTTGCTGGATTGCCTTCAGGTAACTTCCTGGGAGATGCAGGCTGCTAACCGAATGGTTTGGCAGTTTTAACGTACCCGGAGGTGAAAGAGGCCTAATGAAGTGCTCCCAAAGGGTTCCAGGCATGAAAACCCCAGGGAGGTTAACAAGTGGCTAGAGAAGAGATCGATCTAAAAATTATTTCGTGTTGTGTTTAATAATTTTCACCGTGCAAACTTTTTAATTCTCTCCATAATTAGGCATTCAAAATGGTTCAGCGTCTGACCTACCGGCGTAGGCTGTCCTACAATACAGCCTCTAACAAAACTAGGCTGTAAGTAATTTAACTGTTTTAAACACATATTCTCTCACTTACATTGCAAACTACTGACCCTTTTCCATTTTTATCCTGTTTTCCAGGTCCCGAACCCCTGGTAACAGAATTGTTTACTTATATACAAAAAAGGTTGGGAAAGCGCCAAAATCTGCATGCGGTGTGTGCCCAGGCCGACTTCGAGGGGTAAGGAGCCCCATTTTTGTGAATAACGAGGGTTAAATGTCATTGGCTTATTCCCTTAGTAAAAGTTTGGTCGTGTCTAAGGGCAGAGAATTACTAAGCATTCACAGACAAAATTCTCGCGAGAATGCTATTTCTCATAAAGCTTGTGGAGGAAATGCCACGTCAGGTCGTTCAAGACAGTTCAAGACCGATTTATTTCTGCAGCCTAGTGTAAAGTTTGCATTTTTAGCACTGGGGAATCTTTCTGGTGTTGAAGCTTCGCAAAATAACCTCAGCGCTTTCTTTGTAGGTCCGTGCTGTGAGACCCAAAGTTCTCATGAGGTTGTCCAAAACCAAAAAACACGTCAGCAGGGCTTATGGTGGGTCCATGTGCGCTAAATGTGTCCGAGACAGGTAAATAAGACTCCACTTGACTTCGCTGTCACATGTCTGTCTGCTTTTGTGTGGGGTTTTTGCTGCTGCACGCTAATTTTCAGGGCTGATATTTTTAAAATCTGGCTTTCTTACCTAATAAGTTGCATACTTTTGAGATATTTTCTTAATTAGGGATGACTATACTTGTGCAAGCTGATAAATGATATTAATTCCAATCAATTTAGCCAAAATGTGGGGGCTTTTAGATACAGAATTAAAGACGTTACGTTTTAGGTAAAGAAAGACAGGCCTTTGCGACTCGATGGCAGTGAGTGAGTAGCTTTTAGGTGCCGTGGACAGGTATGGATATGTATTAGTTGGTAGAAAGGGTATGCCTTGGGTTCTTGGAAGCCCTGAGCTGGGTCTTCTAGGTAGATGGATGGCGTTGATTTTAAGGCATAGGAAAATCTTGTGTGTTTGGAGCAGAAGGCTTTAGGAGGTCATGCTCAAAGGTAGACGTCTACTTTCACATTGGAAACTTATATAGAGTACACAGGTGAATGGGGCCGACATTTCTATCTCTGTGAAGGTTGGAGAAATGACATGTCCATCCAGACATGAAGAATGGGGTGGTGAGGATTATTGGGAGAGGAGAGTTCCCAGGAGGATGAAGGCTTTGAGATAGACCGCATCCTTGGGGCTGATGTTGACGTTAATGTGACACCCACTAGTGAGCACTTTGCTCCTCACAGGCCCATCAGGATCATTTCTTTCACCATCCTACACTGCCCACTGTTGTTCACAGAACTGGCAACACCAAGATATATTAAGAAGCTTATTCTTTAATAGCTATTAAGTTGCTTCTTCAAAGGCAATACGAGTGAGGGGTGGTTGATTTTGATGTAAAGAGGAGACTGGTTTCATGTGAGTGCAAACATCAGGAAGGGCATTAACGGTAAACGTGCCCAAAGATGAAAAACCTGAGCCTTAGAGGCAGGGCAGAGGAGGGACACTCCGTGCCATTGGAGTTTAAGTTTTAAATGCTCAGAATAATACCAGTGACCGTTTTCTTTGTAAGTCCTTGACAAGTGAGGAAATTAAAAAGTATTAAAGTAGTCTATACCTTCCTACTGAGCCCTGGGGCATAGTAGTTATGCATTGGGCTGCTAACCACAAGGTCAGCATCTCAACCACCAGCTACTGGTCACGAGAAAGATGAGCTTTTCAACTCCTGTAAAGAGTTAACAGTCTTCAGAAACCCACAAGGGCACTTCTACTCTGTCCTATAAGTTATCATCAACTCCAGGGCAGTGAGTTTTGATTTTGATTTGGGACCTTACTGAGCCCTATGGCACTGGGTTGAACGTTGAGCTGTTTTCCTCATGGTAAGCAGTTCAAACCCACCAGCTACTGCAAGGAAGCAAAATGAGGCTGTCCTGTGAAAAGTGGTCTTGAGGATCCTGGATGGAAAGGGTTGGGGCTGCAGGGCCTTCGCACAGAGAAAGTAGCCTGCCCCGTGACATAACTAGTGACGTTGAACCCAGATTTGGAGGTTCTGCGGTGTATGCTTGACACTGCAAATCAAATACACAGTGTTGGGTCCTGATAGTAAGTGATGTTAAATAAAAACTGCGTAATTAGGAAACGGGTCTTCTCTGGAGAGAATTTTAATTGTTATTGGTAGCCAGGGGTGGGGGGGTGCAGCTGGTGCTGTTAACATGGAATTCAAAGGTTTTCCTTCTTCCGTGGCACTGCAGGAAGTAGACCTTGAGCCTCAAGGGGCCTGTTGTCAGAATCCCAGCTCTTAGAATTTTGCTCTACTGGGGTGGGGTTTTTTTGTTTTAACATTTCTGTTCTCTGTACCAAATGCTATACTGTTTATGGAACTTTCCTTGCCTTGTGTTAAATGCTTCGTTGGCTTTGTGTTTTTAATTATTTATGCACTGTTCTCCTTTCCAGGATCAAGCGTGCTTTCCTTATTGAGGAGCAGAAAATCGTTGTGAAAGTGTTGAAGGCACAAGCACAGAGTCAGAAAGCTAAATAAATACAAATGGAGCTTGTTTGAATAATAAATCAAATGATTTGTTCTCTTATTTCTGTTGTCGTTTGTTAGTTTCTAGATGCGGTATCTGGTGGCTTCGGGTACCAGCCCTAGCCTCTGCTTACCTAGTAACAGTTCACTGCAGTCATTTTCACAGTGGTCGCTATTCCTCTGGTTCTGCCTTGGTGAGTCATGCATGCTCATGCTGTTAGATTTCAAAAGACCCTCATTCCGTAAAGAGGACCTACATGATATTTTTTAAAGTCGTGATTATTATCTTAAGTCTTCAAAACTTCATTTGTTCTTCAGGCTAATCTCTGCTAGTGGTAAGAGGAGCAACCCCACTCACCCTGTTTGCACATGGCGGCGCTGTGGGAAGCCTTGGACCACTAACCACAAGGCTGGCAGTTGAAAAACCCTAGTTTGGATTGGGGGGCGGGAGTCAACTCTAGGAATCAACTCAGGCTGGCTTTGGTTATGGAGAAATGAGTAGGAGGGAAATTGTAAGTCTTAAATGTCTTATTCAAGAGTTTTCCTCTTAAAGAGAAATGTCCTTTAATCAACATTTTGCCTCAGGAACGGGATCACAGCTCATACGTGTCTTCATTGGCATTTTAATCCAGACAGGCTGGAAGTTTCATGTTTTCTCCCCAGTGTGCTCAACAGTATCTGCATACATGTAGCTATCACACTTTCCCTTTTTGTCAGTGCTCCAAGCGTTTAATACATTTACCAATGATCCCATGTAAGATTTACAGAAGGGAAAGAAAAGCTGTCTGCATGTTAGGATTTTTGCGAAGGACGTTTAGTGATATGGCTCGAATTTAGCTCTGATGAGTGCAACCAGAGGTGGTAGGTAGAGGAGCTCCTGTCAATTTTCTCAGACCTTTGAGGTCCATTAGGCCTCAAACACCAGGTAATTAAATTCTTGAAATAATCAAATTCTGTTGTGTAATGATGCTAATTGATCATACTGGTAAAAGATGGAATATTCCTAGAAGGCACAGCATACTTGGAAAACCTGGGGGGCCCTGGTCATGTAGTGATCAACACTGGCCTGTTAACTGCAGGGTCAGCAGTCTGAAACTCCTAGAAAGACCCCTTTCAATCCTGTCAAGGGTTACAGTCAAGCACACTGACAGTTCTATCTGCCCTGTGGGGTCCCAAGGAGATTGACCCAATGGCAGCCACTTGGAGTTTGTAATAAGCTGGTTCTATAGTGTTTGTGTATGGTAAACGACTAGATTTCTCAGTCGCTGTAGGAGGGGACAGCCTGAGCTCTTGCCATTTCACTTTCCCCTGTTCTGCCTCTGGAGTTTTGAGTGTTTCAGTTCAGTGACCCCACTGTAGGACTAAATTGGATTGCCGAGAATGTTTCCAAGCTTGTAATCTATGGAGAAACATTGCTACAGTCTTGGAGTAGCTGATGGATTTTCAACCACCAACCAATTGCATATCATGAGTTTTCGGCAAAGAAAAATTGAATAGCAAATTTGGAGAGAGAGCATTGAAGAGTATGTAGTTCTCAAAGACTTCGATACTGGTATTTTTACTTAAAAAGCATCTCAGGTAATTTTAAAAACCATTGAAGAAAGATCCCCTTCAATTTCATTACATCGTATTTCCAGCAGTGATGCCGTCATGTGATTTTCTGTTGCAGGCATAAAGTAGACATTTTTGCTCAATTGAAATGCTGTATATGAATATTTGGCTCTCCTGTCCATATTTGTGAGCAGAATTTTCCCAACAGTTTTATTGGCATGTAATTCATGTTATTCGATTATCAATAGTTCAATTACTTCAGTCATCACAATGTTTTAGAACATATTCTTCAATCTTGTACTCATCATTAACTCCCCATTGTCTCCCAACCTCCCTGTCATTCCTCCCAAGTGACCATTAATCTAGCTACTATCTGTAGATTTACCTATAAAACCTAACTGCGTTTGCAACCATCCACCTTTCCATGCATTCTGCATGCTAGCAAGGCTGTTGCATCTTTGCTCCATGGTCAGCGGGGATTGCCTAGGGACTCGATCATGCGTACTTCCCCTTCATTTATTAACTTTTCAACTATCTCTCAATCCACTACACAATGTGAATAACGACTATTTCCGGAGGCTGTCTGTGTGGACTTCACAAATGGATTTGGGGCTTCCACTGTCATCCCAAACCTGCAAACCAGGATGTGAACAGAAGCCTTGAGAGAAAAACTGTAGGCCATCAAATCCATGTGCTAACTTTAGCCACTTTGGGGTGGGGGTTTGATTCTTGGTGTTCTTACACATCAGACTGTGTCACTTGATGGTCTTTGTTTTAAATTCATGAGCTGGCATTGCATTTAGAAATTAAGTTTATCTCCTGGGTTGCAATGAGTGTAGTGTGTCTTTGGATATGAGATATGCCTAGACTGGTGACCTGTGTTAAGTGTGGGCATTGACCGCACTTCAGCCCCCACCACCCCACCCCCACCCCC